TAGGATGATATATTATTGTCCTAGACGATATGAACAAACTTCTTCTGATCGTTTCAAATCATCCGACTGATTGGGCTTAAATTGTACTGATCGTACAGGACGATATTCCTATCGTCATGGACGATAAAGTCGGCAACTTGCATTAATGGGCTAATTTTTAGCTCTTATATTTAAGCTTTGTCAAGGCACTTTTGTAAGAGTCTTTGGCAGCCATTGTAGCTTCGTTCTTGTGGGGGAAACTTGAAGAGAAAGCTTGAAAGAGAGTGAGGAACGGGTGAAGTCTAAGAGAGGGAGAAGATCCTGTAAGGGGGGACTCAAGGGAGTGTGGAGGGGGATTCCATATGGTTTCTCCGACAGGCTTGCACCTTAATACCGTCGGATTCAAGGCTTGTCTTGAGGGAAGTTCACCAAAGAAGAAGATCTCCCGGCGATCAAAGGACCCGGCGACTCCGCCGCACCGGGGAAGGTGGAAGTGATTTTATAAGGGCTTCTCCGCCTAGCTGTGGGAGTTAAAGGAGAGACTTATTTTAGTGCAATACTTGGAGGGTGCCTCCCAGGAGTGGACGTAGGTCAAGGTTTGACCGAACCACTATAAATCCGATGTGTTCTTTCTTATTATTTGCTTCCGCATTTAATTTCCGCATCGTTGGTTTTGATAGTGGTGAATCTTGTATTTGGATTTAAGATTGTGTTTGTTTTAAATACGGATTCACCTCTCTATCTCATTATTAGCCTTGGGCTAGTTCATAAGGGCTTAACATTCCTAACGAACTTTCAAGTGGTATCAGAGCACTTTCTAGTGTCATTTGAGCAGTTTCAATCGTATCAGAGCGGGATTCATAAAATAAGTTTTTAAAAACTTTTGAATTTTCGATACATGGCTAATTTTTCTAATCATAATGTTGTGGAAGGATATTCAATCACCAGACCTCCTTTATTTGAAAATATGTCATTTGATTTTTGGAAAACTCGCAAGACTATTTTCTTGCAATTGATTGATTTTCGCATGTGGCTTATGATTTTAACAAGTTATTCATCACCATCACGTATTGCTAATGGAGTTAAAACTGATATTCCTTTTAATCAATGGAATAAGGAAGAACAACTGAATGCTCAACTGAATGCAAAATCTTTAAATTGCTTTTTTTTGTGCTTTAAATTATGGAGATTTCATGTTAATATCCACTTGTACTACTGGTAAGGAAGTTTAGGATAAACTACATACCATATACGAAGGCACGAATGAAATGAAGCAATCCAAGTTGAATTTGTTAATGCATAGTTTTAAATTATTTTCCATGAAACCTTATGAAACGATCTTAGACATGTATACCAGATTCATTCAAATTGTAAACTCATTGCATGCTTTAGGAAAAGAATTTTCAAATTTTAAAAAAGTTAACAAAATTCTTCGTTGTCTACTGAATAAGCTTAATGTCAAAGTAGTTGTTATTTGTGATCAAAAGATTTGAATGATTATTCTATTGATAGTTTGATTGACTCACTCATTGCCTACGAGCAAGATTTGGGTGAAAGACTTTTAGATGCAGGTGAAACGATTATTCTAAAAACTGAAGATACAGAAAGAGATATCTTAGTTGGTGATGAATGCAATAACTTGACAAGCAAATCACAAAGCTCACCAAAGTATAAGCAAAAGTAGAAAAAAGGTAAAAGTGATAAGGATGTCCAAATTTCTTCTGACATTATTTGCTTTTGATGTAGGAAGTCTGGACATATGAAAAATCAGTGCCCTAATTTAAGAATGTTTCTTACGAAAGAAAAGGGCAAGGCGAAGCAAAATTTAAACTGAGAAAATAATGAAAGGCGAAAAATATGATGGGCAGATATTGTTTCTGAAGCATCGGACCATGAGAAAGATAATGGTTAAAAGCCTTTCGTGTTTTTGTGTTGTGTTTTTGTTTTTATGTTTTTCATTTTTATTTTGTGTTTTTGCTGTTTATTCTTTGAAATTTTTGTTTTCGTGAAAGTTTTTTTTCTGATCAACACACACATTCACTTTTCTAAAAATGAAAAATCTACTTCTTGTTTTTTTTTGAAATCTTTGGTAAGTTGTGTTTGACTTTTCTAAAACAGTCAAAGGAAGGAAACTCATATTTTTTACTCTCAATCTCTATTTTCTAAAATAGGTTATTCTACTTTTGATTTAAAATCTTTTTTATCTTTTAAATTGATTTTTGAAACTACATTTTTTATCTCCTTACATTTTATTTATCGCATAGGAATCTTTTGCAACTTGTTGAATCTAACTTATAATTTTCTTAATCAAAAATTTGCTTTATCAATAGGATGGTTTTACTTTTATTTTTAAGATTTTAGAAATGTAGCATATAAAAAAAAATTGGCCAATGATGCCAAAAATAAAGATGCGCAATAATGCCAAATTGAAAAATATACACAAAAGTGTATCAAAAATCAAAAGATGAACAAAGAGTGCCATTCAAATTGACAAGAGGCATAAAATGAGCCCACAAAATTTAATGCTTATCATTCTTGTACTTCTTAAAAGCTTAAGAAAACCCTTGATACTTTCGATACTTGAGTTTGAAAATCTTGATTCGTGATTCAACAATTCTTGCATTAATCTTCTATAAGATATATTTTATGAAAGGAGTTTTGAAAAATTTTTGTTTCTTTCTATAATTTGTCTTATGATTTAGATATTTAATTAAAAACTTTTTGAGGCTTTTTAAAGAACTTGAGTTTGGATTATCAAATTCTGAATTTCTAATCTTTTCTGGGCTATGTGTTGTCAATCCAATTCTACTACGTTTTCGATTAAAATCAAGAGGTAACTTTCTCATTTTAAGAATATTTGTTTTTTCACTAGATCAGGGAACGTTTTTATCTTTTTTTTTTCATTTTGTTTTTTTTTGTTTGTGCCTCCTCTCTTTTTGATAATGTTAAAGGGGGAGAACATACTGTTAAATTTGTATATTTTTTTCTTTTCAAAAATTTTAAAACAATAAAAATATTTTTATCTCCCCTATTTTTTTAAAAGTGTTATTCAAGTGAGGGGGAGATTAGGAGAAAATGTTCCTTTTTGCAAATTCAAATTGAATTATTTGTCATCATCAAAAAGGGGGAGATTGTTACGGATCTGTTTTCATGGTTTATGATTTTGATGATAGCAAACACTCTTATTTCTCTACAACAGCCTTATTTACTAACATTTTAGGTCCACACGATCAGACTGCAATTTGGAACCAGCTCAAGATTGGGTAGACTAGATCTGAGTCAGTTTGTACACTTTAGTCTATTGTATTTAGTGTGGCTCTTGATATTTTATAACTTGGAAGATTTTCTGTTGCTACCTAAAGATTTTTATTTTTGGTAACATTGTCCGGGACGATATTTATATTCCGGGATGATCGTCCAAAAGCAGAAACCCTAATTAGGGCATCCTCATTAAAGCAGCCTTCATTATGCAAAACACATCGTCCTGGACAATTTTGTATCGACCAGGACAATAGGCTCAATTTAGAAATAATCGGCCGCCAGATCTAATTAGAAATAACCTATTTTTGGACATCGTCCAGGTGGATCGTCCAGGACTATAAAATATCGTCCAGGATGGTTTAGGTCAATTTGTCCAAAATTTCTCTAGAATTTAAGGAAAATAATTATGACTTGATTTCACGATCAAATCGGCCTGGACGATCGCCAAATCATCCTGATCGATGTGCTGGATGATTGGACACCGGATAGCTATTTTTTAGGGCGATGTTCAGGATGATATTCCACGATTTGTTCTGATCGTCCAGGATGATATATTATCATCCTAGACGATATGAACAAACTTTTTCTGATCGTTTCAAATCGTCCGGCTGATTGGGATTAAATTGTACTGATCGTACAAGACGATATTCCTATCGTCCTGGACGATAAAGTCGGCAACTTACATTAATGAGCTCATTTTTAGCTCTTCTATTTAAGCTTTGTCAAGGCACTTTTGTAAGAGTCTTTGGCAGCCATTGTAGCTTCATTCTTGTGGGGGAAACTTGAAGAGAAAGCTTGAAAGGGAGTGAGGAACGGGTGAAGTCTGAGAGAGAGAGAAGATCCTGTGAGGGGGGACTCAAGGGAGTGTGGAGGGGGATTCCACACGGTTCCTCCGGCAGGCTTGCACCTTAATACCGTTAGATTCAAGGCTTGTCTCAAGGAAAGTTCACCAAAGAAGAAGATCTCTTTGGTGTCAAAGGACCCGGCGACTCCGCCGTACCGGGGAAGGTGGAAGTGATTTTGTAAGGGCTTTCCGCCTAGCTGTGGGGGCTAAAGGAGAGACACTTGTTTTAGTGCAATACTTGGAGGGTGCCTCCAAGGAGTGGACGTAGGTCAAGGTTTGACCGAACCACTATAAATTCGGTGTGTTCTTTCTTATTATTTGCTTTCGCATTTAATTTCTGCATCGTTGGTTTTGATAGTGGTGAATCTTATTTTTGGATTTAAGATTGTGTTTGTTTTAAATACTGATTCACCTCTCTATCTCATTATTAGCCTTGGGCCAGTTCATAAGGGCTTAACATCCCTAATGGACTTTCAACCCTTCTCTTCTTACTTACAAATCGGAATCAACGTGTCTTTACATCCTGATTTACATCGATGACATTCTCTTAACTGGCAACTCATCGACCGAGATCAACAAGCTACTATCCAGCCTCCGCAATTTGTTTCAAATGCAACATCTCGGCCCACTTGCACATTACCTAGGAATTCAAACAATAAAAACAACATGTGGTCTACTCCTACAACAGTAATAATATGCAAGTCGCATACTGGATAGAGCAGGCATGCAATAAGCCAAACTAGTGGCTACTCCCACTTCGTGCAAAAATACCGAGACAACCACATCAACCGAGCAATTCACTAATCCCCAATTATATCGTCATCTAATTGGATCACTTCAATATCTCACTATAACATGCCCCGACATCCAGTTTTCAGTCCATCAACTAAGCCAACACATGCACGAATCACGGAACATGAACTTTGATGCCCTCAAATTCTACTTCGGCACATTCAAGGTACAACTAATTATGGTATTTCCCCTTTATCACGACCCTCTTATCTTATAGGGCTTTGTCAACGCTGATTGGGCTAAAGACACCAAAGACCAAAAACCAGCCTCCAGATACTGCAACTTTCTAGGCAAATCACTGATCTCTTGGTAAGTCAAGAAGCAAAACATAGTGGCACGCTCTTCCACCAAAGCAAAATACTGAGCATTAGCCACCGAAGCATCTGAAATTCTTTGGCTTTGAAGAGTACTACAGGACTTTTACATTCCCTAAACTACTCCAACAACCATCTACTATGACAACACCTCAGTAATCGCTCTTGCTAACAATCCCGTCTATCACGCCAGGACAAAGCACATTGACGTCGATTTTTACTTCATTCGGGATAACATCCAGTCAAACCACTTATCCGTTCACCACATCGAAACTAATGATCAACTACCTGACATATTTACAAAATCTTTATGTATACATCAGTTCAAAACACTCCACAACAAACTAATGGTTGTCTTTCCATCATCAGTTTGATGGGGGATGTAAACAAGAAAGGAAAGCACTCTCCTGTCCACCTGGCATCCTCGTCATCATGTCGTTATTTGGTTTATTATATCTCATCTCTATATATACCCACTAATGTATTGAGTTAAAAGAATGAAAATAAAATTTTCTTTAGGTTTCTCTGTTTGCTTTGTCTCTCTGGTTGTGATTCTACATCAAAGAGGTACAACTTTGAAGAAATAATCAAATATTGAATGCTACACATATACACAATTTTTTTTTCAAACATAAAGATTTCAATAAGCATTGAAAGGTCCAGATTTAAATTATTATTTCTTATATTAACTTTGAAAATTGTACATTTTAGTTAATAGGTTTGCATTATTTTCAACTTTAGACTAGATTTGAATTTTTATGAACTTTTTTTATTTTCATTATTAAGAAATTTGATGATCTTGAATTTTTTGGGTTATTCTTTCAACTAGAGTTATAGGTGTTAAAGTAAGGATTGTTCTGCCTGTTCTTAATCACATTTAAGGATTCTATATTTGATGAACTTTTTTTATATAAATTAAAATCCATTGAGGGGCCTACGCATTAATACCAAAAAAGGGGTTACAAGATTCTTAAAAGGAACCTCCAGCTTGCTAATGCTCAAAAGAGCTACAAGATAAAATAAAATAAAACCTAAAAATCGATGGTTCATTATACTATGGATTACATAAAAAACCAAAGTACATTCTAGGGATGTAAGAAGATAGCACTCCTAAAAGGAAGAGCAAAATAATGGCATTCAGCATAAATTTCTTGCAAAAAGAATAAGTAAACCTCCAATAGCTCCAAAATCTTTAACTCATGAAATCCCTATAAAAATTGTAACGCAAAAAAATTTGGCCACCAGATCTGCACAAAGCAAACACTCCAACAGAAAAGGTTAATTTGGCACCAATAATGAAAGGGGTAGATATTTAAGTAATTGACATATAAAAACAAAATAGAATTGTCAAACCCATCCAGGAGAGCAAGCACAACATGCATGGTTTGATGGAAAGGCAAAATCAAAGCCACCAATAGTTAACGGCCAGAAGAGTATAAAACAAAGTTAAGCCCAGCTTCCATAGAGATTTTGATGAACTTGGATCATTGGGTGATCCATAGAGATTTTGTTCTACTATCATGGGTGCTCCATGAGTTGAACTAACTCAAAGGTTCTCTAATTTTTCAAAAATTGAAACTATTTGAGACGATAAGATAGACAACGCATCAAACTTATAGACATTGGCCACTTTCTTAAGATTGAATCCATCAATCAGACATTATAAATTATTAGTGGTCATGTGTTTGATTAATCCATAAGCTTCATCAAAGGGCCTGAACATTAATGAATCTCCATTCATAACATCTATAACCCTAAGTGATCCTAATAATCCATTGTAAAAGGTTTTGATTATCAATTAATCAGGTAGTGCATGATGTTAACATTTCATTAGTAATTCTTTAAAACCTTCTCATGCTTCATAAATCTACTATCTAACTAACTTAGTAAATGATATAACATCATTCTTAAGCTTCGTTGTTTTAGATAAAGGGAAGTATTTTGCTCGAAACTTATGGGAGCCTTCGGATAACAAATTTAATTATATTTTTGCTTTGTCTCTTAGAGAAATTAAGAGAAACCTAAGTCTAATAGCGTCATCAGCGATGCTATTTTACTTGAAAGTGATTTCCAAGAAACCTTTAATATGTAGGTTTGAATCCTTAGCAATGGTCCCCCCGAATTGTGAGTTCTACATCATCTATGTTATCATAGGTTTAAGTTCAATTTTTTTTCTTGAATATTGGGTCTACTAATACTTTGGTAAATATCATCTACCAGTGGGTTAACATAATCTCCTAAGAATCAAGGTTATTCATTATCGTGCACTAGGTTTATCGTATCTATTTTTTCTATTTTTTTACTTTTCATAAGATTTCTATTGGTTTTTTTTTTCAATTTTAGATCAAATAATAATTCTTCTAATTAGTTTCTACTACACATGAAATAATTAAAAGAACAGTAAAATAAAAAAATATTACACTACTAAACAAGCAGTATAGTGATAAGTATGAATTTGAACAACAAATTACACTAAAAATAATAGATAGCAAAAACTACTTCTATAACCAATTGAACTTGTAATGCAACAAAATAAACAACCTTATTAACACAAATAGGTTAAATTTGAATAGAAATAAGAATAACTTTCTAATTCTCCAAGTAATAAAAAATGAATAAAGAGATATCAAGTAATAAAAAAAGTTTAAAATTTTAATTACTAATTCCCATCACTATACTAGATTAGGGTTTCCAATGGAATTCTATGTAATTGCACATGTCTTGTCAAGCAATAAATGAAGACTTGAGTATCATTCCAACGAGGAATAGAATGACCCCAAAATACTCACTTTTCTATACCACTTCTACTAATTGTTAAATTTATCTTACTTCAACAATGAAATGGTTATGTTGAAAAGTAAGTTACTAAATATTATAAAGATGAAAATATATATTAAAATTATCCTAAATGTAAGATAGATAAGAACTCATACATACAAAGATTGATCTCCTATTTTGAGTATTGTGAATTAAAGCACATGTAACTCCTCGTCTCCATTGAGTTCATCAGAGTTTCTAGCAAACATTTCTTTCACTAAAGTGATATTATCTCATTAAGATATAAATTTTCTATCCAACATATGTATACATGAAAGAAAATTATTCTAATTCACCAAATTATTCCACTACTCTTCTATAAATTAAATGAAGATTAGAGGAGATAGAAATAGCATTATAAAATTGAAATGCATAGAAATCAAATCTATGTGAACACGTATTATTAACATATCATATGTCTATGAAAAGATTTATCATGCCATTACAATTATCGCAAATACAATAAACCTTATTTTAATAATAAAAAGAAATATACGATAAGAGTTTAAGGAATAGATAAAATGAGGGTTTATTGCAATAATAGATGCACCCTCTAATACTTCTCCCCTTTACTCTCACCCACACTCACTCCCTACAGGACACTTCCTAAAATTGATTATAAATAATAAAATGGACAGACACCTCTAATACTTTGTCCATACTATTTATATAAAAAAACTCATAACTGACTCTAACACCATGGCACTCATAGTGATAGCGTTGCGGTGTTGCTATAATGAACTACTATTGTGGCATTTGTGAGACTTAGCGAGAAAATGCTTTAACTTAATAAACGTGCCATTTTGTGAGAATAATTATATTAATTACTCTTTTACAGTGCTCTGGAAATTTAGTGTTGTGATACCTAGAATAGTGATGTGACATTATGGCGATCCGACGCTACGATGCTAGATGGTGTTGCAACATTGGTGAGTTGCACACTGTGATAGCTTTCTCTTTATCTTGAATCAAAATTTAGTGTTTAATGTTGTAGCAAAACCTTTTTTCATTTTTTTATTTTTTATTAACTTTTTTCCTGTTCAAACTCATAAAGTGAGGTAGCTTTAATGCAATAGAGGATAGCTAAAGCACAACAAAAATTTAACTAACAAGAAATGCAACTAAATCAACTTGTCCTGCAACATACAAAATCCAAGCACACAAGCCATAATGTCACGTCACGTTTGTATGCTAACATTTGATGCATACTTGTTCTAACACTACAGAAAAAATGCTAATTTTTGACGGCTTTTTTTGCGGAAAAAATCCGTTAGAAATTCTGGTAAATTTTCCAGTGGATTTTTGACAAACTATTTTAGGGATATTTTTGATGAAATTTTAAATTTTTTGGAAAATAATTAATATTGATATTTAAAAGTATTCATTTTCTTAAAATGAATTAAATAAATTTAAACAAAAATAGTAATAATTTTTAATAATTATTATTATGCTAATTTAACTAATTAAAATAAATTAATTAGGTAATATAATAAATATTATAAAATAGATTAAATAATCAAAACATATTTTGCTTTAAAAATAATTATTAAGAAATTAAATATAAAAAATGAAGCTAAATTAACATAATATGTATTGCAGCTCATTGGATAGAGGTGGTTTTAAGTGGGCATGATTTGAATCCCACATAGCATAGGCAGGGCCTAGTTTACAGGCTAGCAGTTCATGGGAGGGTCTAATTCACAAGGGCACGGAGTGCACGGGGGTTCATGGGACTGAGGTGATAGCTAGCTAGTTCACGGGACTGCGAGCTAGATAATATATATTTTTTATCTTTTCTAAGCAATTTCTGGCAAAAAAATATGTCAGAAATATTTTTGGTGGATTTTTTTATGGTGTTTGTTTTTAGATGCATGAATTATCGGCAAAAATATAAATTACCAATGGTTTTCATTCCTTTTCTGACAAAAATGGCAGCCGCAAATAATAATTTTCCTGTAGTGTAAGACCTATTATGTGATTTGTAACTCTGAAGGTTGAATCCCACCATCAGAATACTAGGTGACAATATAAATTTTCATGGGATGGGGACACCGTTTCTATAACCCTCATCGTCATTTGGTATAGTCACTCAACTAAACACTTTTCATTTTCTTTAAAAGAGAGGTTTGTCATCTCATGGCCCCTCTGAAGGGTCCTTTAATGAAGTTCTAAGGGTAC